CCCCCCCCCCCCGATTTCTAGTATTATCTGTGATCATATATGTTTGGTGTGTCAACAGGGGTCCTAATTCATTTTCCTGCTTTCTGGCATTCTTCTTAGCAGTATCCAAACTGTGAACTCTTCTCCACTGGAAGGTTAATTTGGGTCCTACATGTATCATTTCACCACAAGTGAAGATCTTTTAATTTTAATTTTATTTATTTATTTATGCAATTTATTAGCTGCCCATCTCACTTTTTCCAAGCAACTGTGGGTGGTGTATAACACAGTTAAAAAACAATTTTCCAAGATCCTTCAGTCAAAACTGTTTATAGCCAGTTTTTTTAAAAAATGTTTGTGGGTCTTTTTACTCTCTAGTAATTTTAGAGAAGCTACCCTGAGAATCTCTTTTGAATAGCAGGATACCTATCCCTAAAAAACTTACTTCTAACTTACCATTTCAGGAGTGTCGCATGCCATGAGACAGCCTGACAAAGCAGCTGTTTTCATTATTTCAAACAGATGAGTAGGAGAAGACCTAAGACTGAAAGGCAGCTGGACCCCACCTGTGAGATCCACCAAAGCTTCTGAGATAAAGCCGAAGTGCAACTTCTCATAAGAACCACGCCATCTGGAAGAAAAGGGAAGACTCCAGGCTAGGCAGCAGAAGTAAAACAACAGAGAATGTTTATATGTATAGGAGAATATAAACGAAAACTGAAGGTTAGAGAAGCTGGGGCAGGTGAATGGTAAATTGTCTTTTTAGCACCACTAGTGTATCCTGTTCAGTCAGGCTGGAAATAGAAACACAGCTTTAAACTCAAAGAATATTCTATTCTATTCTCATTTTTTTCACCTAATAGGCTAGACAATTTTATTTATTTTTTCTTACTCTGTCAATTAAAAGTCAGTAAATCCAGTATATTTTTATTAATAGTCCGTTGTTTTGGATTTATTTCATTTCTTAGTTCAACACAAACAGTAAATCTTTCCTTAATTCTAATTCATCCCTAATCTATCTTCCTTCCTCCCTTCCTCCCTTCCTCCCTTCCTTCCTTCTCTGTCTTAAAATTAATTAGGTGGATGACTACATAAGAATAATAACAACATGAAATAAAAGAAGTCAATATAGACCACTACTGATTTTGTGGCGAATTCAGTCACACAACTGAATCAGTACACATGGACCCACCAAGATACATACATACATACATACATACATACATATTTGTATATATGTCTATCTCAACTATATCTATATGTCAGGTAGACATCATAGAATTCTCCCAACATTTACTCTCCTTTCTGCATGTCCTGGAATAGGTTCAATATCTCATCTGCAGCAGGAAGAATTGAAGAATGTTTGTGGTCATGATAAAATACAATTATCTGGAGAAGGAAGAACAGAGCAAGTCCATCTGTGTGCTGGGTTTAATTTCTAGAGCCACTGAAGAGCGCAGCATGACCCACACTCCAAGATAGAAGGTGTTGCCTGCACTGACTCCTCTTTTCTATTAATCTGACTGAAGCACGACTGCAAAATGTCAGATGGTACAATCCAAGAATATTATGGCTCCATTTTTTGAATTGGTTAAATCTAAGGAGTCTCATTTAATCATCCCTCTAGCCCAGAAGCTGGTGGGGTCAGGCAGATTGGGGGCTTTTCCAGCCGTCCTGGAAGAAGGGCAACCCCAAAAGTGAAGCTGGTTGAGATGATACATAAAGACCAGCCTCAGAAAAAGTCTTGTCCAAGAAAAGGTTGTAGGAAGGTTTGCTTCTGGTCTGGGTTTGTGGAACTCTCAGAATAACTCAAAATACTTTTAAAAACTCCCCTGTAGTTTTCTTTTCTTTTCTTGCATTTCTTTGTCCCCAGACAGACCTTTATACATTGTTTAATGCTGCATGTGACAGTTACATCACGCATCACATCCTGAAAGCTAAAACAACACCCTTGGTTACAATCTGAATTTAAAAACAACATTGTCTCTGCTGGAAGGAGATCCGCCACAGATAAGTAAACAGAAAAGTAGGAATAGAATTAAGTACTGCCTAGGTGCTTAATCTTTGTTTCATTTTTATTTGGTTCAGGTCATTGAATGCCCATCAGATAGTGGCACACCAGATGCCAAAAGGCATGTTTCAAGCCTTGTTTTTTGCTCTTTTGTTTTTTGTTTTAATCTTGGGCTTGTAATTACTAATGCAAAAAAAAAAAAAAAGATGAATGAGAGTTGGCTACAATAGCAATATATGCCATCTTTAAAAAAGTAAGTACACAATCTGAGCTTCATACTGAATCAGAAAAATGAAATCCTTGGCTAATTTTATTTAAAAATAACGTCTCTAACCTAGCTGGAAAAAATGGAATTTATAGTATGCACAGGGGAAATGCTCTTGCAGAAAATATCATTTTTGACCAATCTTTATATAATAATGACTTGGCATTTTCTGGCATAAAAATGCTGTTCAGTGAAAAGATACTTGAATCAACTTCTGCAAATCTAAAGTATATTTCAGTTTCAAAAAAATCAGCATCTTAGTATCTGTTTATTATTAATTGATTTTTCCCTTTTTTAACATTAGGGTATCATATACAATGTTCAGTGATTTACTAAATGCTGGAAAATACTGAAAAAATTGAATAAAAATATAAAATATTAATATTTAATATTAAAATATTAGGAGCGAGGAACTAGGCAAAAACGAATATAAACAATTTAGAAAAATGTATGATTTCATTGTAAACTTGAGAGATAAAAAATTAAACATCCATATATAATATTTTGGACTTTGAAGAAGCAGGATAGAAAGAGCATTAACGCATCTGAACTTTAGAGAAGGCTCCTAAGAATACCATGAGTAGCCATCAAAACAAACAAATGGATCATAAAACAGATGAATCCAGAGTTTTCACTAAAGGCAGAAATGACCAGGCTCAAATTATCATATTCTGGACACAGTATGTGAAGATGTAGCTCTCTGGAGAAGTCTATAATGCTGTAATAGGTGGAAGGAAAGAGAAGATGACCAGAAACAAGACAAATGGGCCTGGTTAGAAAAGCAATTGATGCTCCACTGAAACATCTGAAGGACCAGGTTAAGTATCCTCGAGAAAATCTAAGTGGTCAGTAAAAGTTGACACTGGCTTGATGGTACATAATTAATTGATATAATGTGTGTGTGTGTGTGTGTGTGTAGATGGAGATAGCGCATTTGGAATGACTTTCAAAATAACTAAAATTGTTGGAACTTTTTTATTGCTTTCCCTGTCTTGTTCCATTGAAGCTCTGGGGACAACTCAACTCATATCTGAGGAAGGCGGAGTTCACCTAAAATGGTCTGAAGTGATTCCAGTTGAAACTGCACACTAGTGAGCCACAGAAAATATATACTGGTATTGATTTATAAAAAAGTATGGTTAGAAACAGCAAGTGGAAGATGGAGCTGAAATACAAGTATAAGTTTCCAAAAAGAAGATAATAGAGCCAGAAACAATTTTTTCAGTAAGTGGGGCTTCTTTCTTTTTTTTTAGATTTTTTTTTATCCCGCCTTTATTATTTTTATAAATAACTCAAGGCAGTGAAGAAAAAGAAGCTTGACTTCTGATGACTATGCAAATATATCCATATAGCTTCTGGCCTTCTTCCAGGCTGTTCTTTTGACATTGCAGTCTGTTCTAAACCCTGTCAGTTTCCTGGAGGTTTCCCATTCAAGTACTCAGCAAATCCAACTCTGCTTAGTACTGGCTATGTACTTTCACCCACTGAAACACACTTTTTTCCTTTTTGGTATTGATCCCAACAATGACCCCACCGTCTTCTATCCACTATTTATGATTAATTGTCATTGAACTCTACATAGATATATGTAGGGCTGCACTGCAATTTAAGGAAGCTTAAAGTCCACTTACATACTGTAGTTATTTCTCAGCAGATGGAATGAAAAATGCATTAAAAAAATGAAAAAAGTCTACCAACATTGCTTTGCCTGATTGATCCAGAAAATATTATTATGAATAATTAAATTTACATAGGTTGCCTTATTTATTTAGTTATTCATTTGGCTGCCCATCTCACAAAAGTGACTCCGGATGGCCTACAGAAATTAGAACAAAAACTACAAGGTTTCTCTTTTCCCATGTTGTGCCAGATTGCTTCTTGCCGCTTTCAATATATACAGTACCTTAATAAATTGTGATGCTTTTCATTTATATTCTCTGGAATCATACCTAATAAAAATATTTGTGGTTTGAATTCTAATTTTAGTTTCAGAATTTTCTGAATGTTTTGGTGCATTTCTTTCCAGTACTTTGAAGTCTTTTTGCATAACCATCACATATGATAAAATGTTCCTTCTTTGTTGTGGCATTTGCAATATTTATTGTTGGATTATTTTTCCACCTTGGCAATCACTGATGGAGTTATATACCCTCTGTAGAAGATTTTGTTCCAATTTTCCTTCAAACTCTAGCTTGAGGTAAACTTTATTGATTTTTTCATAGTTCTTCCTATTGTTCCACTGTTATTATGTCTTTAAAAGTTTTGCATCCATTTGATCATACAATTTTTAATTTGTTCTGTCTTTGAATCATATTTTGAATAACAATTTTTAATATGTCTGAAAAAGTATCTCAATTCTGTATAAGTATTTCCAGTTGTGACATCTTTGGGCTGTGTTGAGTTTCAGGGTTTAGTGACCATGGTCTTCATAACAGATTTCCTGACAATTCACTGGCAACTATGGCTGGCATCTTCAGAGGCAACTGAGCAGGATCTGACTGAGCTCCTATAGCCAGGTGACCTGATTTTGGATTGGTCTTAAACATTGGTCAATGACATCAACAGCACAGCTCACCTAACCTCCTGGCCCAAACACCTGGGGAAATAGCCAGGTCTTCAGAGCGTTGCAAAAGATTAACTGGACTGGGGCCATTTCCAGGGGGATGCCGTTCCACAGGGCAGGCACTGCCACCAAAAAGCCATGAATCCAGGAACCAACAAGATGACACTATTTGATGGAAAGGATTCAGAGCATACCATCTCTGCTAGAGCTGGTAGGGTGAGCAGAAGCAATGGGAGAGAGGTCATCCTGCAAATAACCCAAACCTCTGCCACGTAGGTGACAACCAGCACTCTAATTGCACCCAGAAGCATATTGGGAGCCACTGCAGGTTGCAGAGCAGAGTTATAACATTGGCACAGCAAGGTATGCCTGTAACTGCCTGTGCTGGTGCATTCTGGACCACCTATAACTTCCAAAAGCTCTTCAAGGGCAGCCCCATGTAGACTGTGTTACAGTAATCCAAGTGGGAGGTGACTAAGGTATCAGTAAAGCCTCCCTGTCCAGGAATGGGCACAACTGGTGCATAAAATGAACCTATGCAAAGGTCCTCTTAGCCACAGCTTCTACCTGCTCTTCAAGCAGGAGCCATGAGTCCATCAGGTCCCCCAAACTGTGTACCAACTCTGACTGGGGAAATGCATCCCACAGAAGAGTTCAAGATGGAAAATCTTGGGAACTGGGAAGGGGAGCCTAAAAACCCACAGGAGTTTCCCAATTTTCTTGGGAATGTGAATTTTGGATTGAAGACCCTGTAGTGAAACTGGGTTTCCTTGATGAGAATTGGCATAATTTCTTCAAACTTTATGTTGGGAATAAAGAAATATAGTTTAAAATCTCAATTAAGAGTGATAGAATGTATTCTGTCTCTCATTTACTCCAAGGACCCATTAAGTATAAAGTATTAAAACTTTAATATAGGATATAGGTTGTTCTTGCTAAGAAATATATCAACCAAACTCTGTACTTATTTGCAGAGTGACTATTTACTTTTCCACAAGGGCCACTAACATCTCCCTTTTTTTCTTTTATTCTATCTTGATATCTTCTTTTTCTTTCCCTCTTTTACTTTGTTTATTAACTACCAATCTCAGTTTCTCTTAACTTTCTGTTATTCCACCTTCTCAATAAGAAAGTGGCCAGTTAATTTGTGCCATGCATTCTACTAATGCAGACCCTGAGAAGAAAAACTCTCTTTAAAACCTTTTCTTAAGCCATTTATGTCATATGGGCAACTTGTCTTGAAGGTACCATTATTAAGAATTGGATAGGTATATGAGAACCTAATCTTAAAAGAGCTATTGATATTGTACTATTGCTTCAAGGACTGGTAAAAATATGAGTTTTGAACTAAGCAGGAAAAGAACTTTTTTTCCCCCATTGGTGGCCTCATGATTTTTTTATTGAGAATCCGTTGGAGATAAGAATCTATAGAGATACAGATATATAGTTATATTGAAACTCTGGCTAGGTGAGTCAACACCTTGTACTGGTAAATCACTATGAACAAAGACATACGTATCTATCTTCTGAATAGGAATTCTCTCTTGGCATATGAATGTTAGAAGTGTTTGTTACGTACAAATCATGGCATTATTGTCTGCAGTCCTGATTAAGCAGGGTACAGTGGTGAGACATGTAAACAAAACTTGAAAGAAAAGCAGGTTCTGGGAATATTTACTTGGCATAAGCTTTTTCAAGCAGAGATGGCCAAAACTCATTCTTGCTGCGGGGTTTAACAGATAAGTAGTCCCCATCACAGAAAGGCAGTCGGTCATCTACCACCACATCGACCCAGTCTCCAAAGTGCCAGAACTACAAAATAAAAGAAAAAAGGATAATTTTAAATGAACAGTTTTTTCATCTTAGCACATCCTAAAATGAAATCTTTAAATTATTATTATTAAAGTACATTCCTATCCCTTCAAGCTGAAAGGGATATTCATGGAGGTGTCCTTTCATGATATCTTCACAAGAACCTTGTGAGTTAGACTGGATTGAGAGAAAAGGCCTGTTTTAAAATTAACAGGGGGTTTAATGGTTGAGTGGAGACTTTTCTAAAAAAAATGTCTATGCTAAAGGAGAAAAAGACCATAAAGAGGTGGAGAAAGGAATAGAAGTAACCCCCCCCACACACACACACAGAAAATCATACAAGTCTCTGAATGAAACAACATTACTCTTACATGTACATCCATGTCTTGTTATACAATTAAATTATTAACATTTAAGTCAGTCTACTTTGCAATTGGAGACCAATGGGGAATTAAACATATAAACTAGTTTATGAGGTATACTTTTCTAAATGGGCTTCTGGTAAAATACTTGCTGGGATATAGAGAGTTGACCATTCTTCAAACCACTGCATAGTTTTTTGAAAATAATTATCCTTCCAACTTGTATCATTTTATGATACTGTACAGAATGCTGTAACCATTGCAACTTTCTTCATGTTAATTTCCAAATTACTGGAAAATAATAATGATCATCTACAACCAATGAATTTTCCAAAACAAAACTAATGTTTTCAGTGAATGGACACTTGAATTTGGGTTTTCCCAGTCCCAGTCTAACATCTTAACCAATAGATCAGTGTGGCTTTAGGGAGTGTCTAGAGCAATTTCCCACAGGCAGGTAGGAAATAGTAGCCTTAGGGCTTGAGCAAATTCATAGATTAATAAGGTACTATAATAACAGCCTTGCAGTATAAGATTAAAAACTAGTATTCTGTTTTTAACAGCAATTAAAGGGTGTTTTAAGAAAGTTAACAAAGACAACATGAAATGCTTCTATGTTGATTCTGTTTGTACATGCTCCAGCAAGAAGTATTCAAAGACATATTGTATCTGAACCTATAGATAGTTATCATGGTAGCAGAATCTGTCTAATCCCATTTTAAAGTTTCTAAACCTAACTCTACATTTATGACAGTGAATTCTACAAAGTATTTACACTGTGATTAAAGAATTGGGATGTTTTAATCTATCCTGAATCAAACAGAATTGGTTTCACTGGATGACCCAGGTTCTAGAACTACAGAATAATCAAAGTAGTCTCCTCCCCTTCTCTTCTCCACAACAAAGGGGGGGGGGGGAATCCAAACTTTGAACTCACTTTGTCTTTTCTCTAAATCATCATCAACAACA